TGGAATGATATTAATATCTGGATTAATCACCAATAAAATGTTTTTTTAAAAAAGAAATAGCTCAGTCCTGTAAAGGAGTAAAAACAATGCAACACGAGAAAGAACTAAGTGGGGGTCAAGGGGGACTCTATGGAGGACAGGACACACACTCAGGTGGTCAGGGACCCTTTCTGAGGAGGTGACATTTCAGTTGGGACATTAAATCTATAGAGCCAATAACCAGAATAAGGGTTCCTGGGGGGTATGGCAAGGAAGGTAGGGTTGGGGTTCATGGGGAGATGATATCCAGGACTCCAAGAAGGAAGAAAATATTATGAAATTGATTGTGGTAGAGATTGTACACACTGCTTGATATGACTGAACTACTGAATGGTATGATGTCTTAATAAAATGGTTTAAAAATTAAGAAGGTTACAAAGGAACAAGGCAAGGTAAAGAGAAAGAAAAAGCAGCCCACGCTGAGGAAACTGCATCAACATAAGAATGGGATTGATATGTGGACAGAAGTTTTTAAAAAGTTGGGGTGGCTGGAGGGTAAGACTTTGTTCCGGGGAGTCTGTTGTGAATGGTGATCTCTGGTATTGTGCAACCTAGTCGCCTTGGCCAGGAGGTGAGGTTGACAAGGGCATATAATGACATTACGCAGAGCCTTAAAAGACCTGAGACAGGTGTGGTGTTACAACTGTTTTTTTTTTTCTTTAACTCAAAATGTTACCTAAAAAGATTGAGAAAGCTTAAGAAAACAGGATAGACTCTCGTGCATCTTGGGATGTGAACCAGGAAATGCCTTAGATGACCTTTCAAAATTTTCTCTATTCTGGGGATTCAGAGGTTTTCATAGGTTCAGGATGGAGATATTTTAACGCGCCTGTGCTGAGAAATTCTGTGAAAATTAAAATATTCACCTATCCAAGTTATTAGGGTCATTATACAAAGGGATTCTGTTCAAACTGAAGAGAATTCACACGGATTTTCAGTGGCTTTAAAGAGACATGGAGCTAACTGGGAACAGAATCTACCATGTTTGATTTTAACGTATAACAAGTGTCACCCTGATAAGGAATATTCCTAGAAGATAAAATAAAGCTTATCTTTAAGACATCCCAAAATGGCCCTGAAAGGGCCAAGGGAGATTAAGATTTCTGATGCAAATGCTGCTGCAGAAGCGAGGGCAGTCTCTGTGGCAGGTGAGCATGCCCATAATGACCACTAATGTCTTGGGAGTCGCGGATCAAGGACACCCGGGACAAGTGACAAGGGCTGCAGGGAGAAAGCAGTAAGGCATGTTGCTGTTGTCAGGTGCCATCAAGGCCATTTCAACTCATAGCTACCCCCGAGACAGAGCAGAACTGCCTCTAGCCCTGGTGGTGCAGTGGTTACATATTGGGCTGTGATCCTCACCGTGCGCAGTTAGTTGGAAACTACCAGCTTCTCCTCGCGAGACACAGGAGGCTTTCGACTCCGGTAAAGACTAAGTCTCAGAAAACCACAGGGCAGTTCTACGCTGTCCTGTAGGGCTGCTATGAGTCGGCATCGACTCGGTGGCAGTGAGTTTGGGTTCGGTTCAATCCTTACTGGCAGACCACCACGCATTTCTTCGGTGGAGCCTGCTAAGTGGGTTGAAGCTACCAAGCATTTGGTCCACAGCTGAGCACTTAACCACTGTCATCAGGGATCTTCCAGTAGGGCGTACTGGATTTTTGTGGATAGAAAATAAGAGAGCGGGATGGTGGGAAAGAGACAGTGGAAGAGCGGGGCAAGAAGGGAGGGAGGGAGACACGGCACAGAGCAAGGAGCATAATGAGAAAGACGAGAGAAGAAATGGGTAACGAGAAAAGCAGCCTCTAGCAATTAATCTCACTCAGCAAAGAGTACCTGCCCCTCCCCACAAATGGTATCACATACAGCACTTTACGAACTTTAAATTGTTTGAGCGCGCCGGAGAAATTTTCATTCATTTTCCACCCTGTCAGTAAGAATAAATTAGAAGTCTGTACACCACTCATACTATAGTGAGACCATGAGGCAAAGATAAGTATTTCCAGACAGAACTCCTAAAACTAGGTCAGTAGTAATTTAGGTATGAAGGTTTTAAATGTGCAATGCTGCAAATTAATTGTCAGTATTAGGTCAAGTAGAGCTAGAAAGAGTTTATTCTTCTTAAGGCAGTTCAGTTATTTTGGCTATCCAGTAAGATCATTTTAATTGCACAATGCTAAAATTAAAATAAACGTGAATCTAAAATGCATTTTACCGAGCTAATGCCCCCAAATCCTCTCTTTTATTTTTGTGTCTTACACCAAATTTCCCAAATCCAAGGTGAAGATATCTATAGTTTATATTTATATGTGGGTTATATTTATGGACTCACACAGCAAAATGTTTATCCATTTTTCTGGGATAAATGTTAGATAGGGATATTATTGCTATCAATTCATTATAAATATGGCAGAGTCCCCAGATCTATAAACTACTAGAGATATAGTACTATCCCTGTGAAGGAGCCCTGGTAACATAGCGGGTTACACATTTGGGTTGCTAACCACAAGGTCAGCAGTTTGAATCCACCAGCTGCGACAAGGGAAAAAGGTGAGGCTTTCTGCTCCCATAAAGATTTACTGTTTCGGAAAGCTGCCTACAGCAGTTCTACTCTGTCCATACGACTGCTCCGAGTCCCAAGAGACCCGATGACGGTGAGCTTGGTTTGGGGTCTAGTTTGGATATTGGTGGGACCCAGACCAGAAAAGTTACATTCTGAGTAGAAGCAGGCAGGAGACGATTTCAACAGTGCCTCTATGTGAAAGGCTCTAGTCAGGAAAGGATTGGGAGGGTTTTAGTATGGCTCTCGACGCCTGCACCAACTCCATGGCAGTTCCTGTTACACTGAAGCCGTAAGGCTGAAGAGAGATTCTCATGCTACAAGCTAAGGACTTCTCTACATCAAGTGGCAAACCACCAACCGCTTCCTCACAGAGGAACAGTGTAGGCTCAGCTCTGATTCAGAAATGGAAATGATGCTAAAATAGATTTCTGAAAAAAATTAAATTATACACTGTCATATTCCATCCCACTTAATGTGAATGAGCTGAGCCTCTAGGATAAACTTGATTAACATAAAAAGGGTGAAATCTTATGTCTGTTTCTAGAGAATAAATAAAAAAGATTAAAAAACCATATTCTCAGACTGTGCTTGTACTTTCCAAATCACAGCACATGCAATTCCTCTGGCTATCACTCAAGCAAATGTTTTCATTTTAAAGAAAGCTGCTTCCTGAGTCTCTTTCCCTGAAATCTCTTATTGAAAATGCGTTCCTACATCCAGTGGTTTGGAACTGGCTGTTTAGTGTCAAACCCGAGCCTTAGGGGAGGCTGGTCCCAATCATGATGATGGGGACAACAGCAAGGAGTAAAACAAAGTGGCAGTCACGTTGTGAAGCACCATTTATACGTCGGCACCATTGCTATTCCCCTTGAACAGAAAAGAAATTTAAAACATACAAAGGTGGAGGAATTTGTCCAAGATCCCACGGTTAAGTTCACGGGATCCCAGAGTGCATGCTTGTACCATCACACTGTTCGCTCTCTGGTACTCAGGAGCATGGCATATCCAGAGACTGGGAAGAGAGCGACCCTAGATCTGGCGTCATGGCCTGAATTGTGTCTTCCACAATATATGCTGGAATCCTGACCCCTAACCCTGTTGATGTCATCCCATCTGGGACATGGATTTTCTCATATTTTAACAATGCCACATCACAGCGTTAAGATGTGTCCTCCATCTACTCACTTCTGAGCTATAAAACATTGTGGAGTAGATACAGAAGCAGGCTAGGCAAGGAGAAGACAGACTATCTGATAATGACAAAGCAGATGGAATTGACAAGGCCAGGAACACCAAGGGTAGTTGGCTAGTAGAAGCTGAACAGGCAAGGAAGCGTTTTCCACCAGAGTCACTTCTTGAATTTGATCTTCTAACTTGCTGGACTCTGAGTACATACATCTTTGTCTTTTAAAGTCACCCACTTGTGGCATTTCTGTGACAGCAGTACTCTGGAACTAAAACAGCCTGGGTATTCCATTGGCTCCCTTAAAGCTGGAAAAGGGCACGAACCTCCAGCCACACTGTGACATGTGAAGTGAACCTGTGCATGACAACTGCTAGGTGAGGGGCACAGGGAACAAATTCTAAAGCACCAGGCCCTCTGGGGGAGGAAGATGAGGTTGCCCATTCTCATAGGGTTACATCTCAGAAACTTATGCAGACAGTGCTACTCTGTCCTACAGGCTCACTAGGAGTAAGAATCAACTCGATGGCTGAGAGTCTGAGTTTTGAGGAAGGCAGCAGAGGACAATGGCTAAGAGGTCAGGTTCTGGTGTGGGTTGAACTAGTGTTCAAATCCTGTTCTGGGCACTTTGGTGCTTAATCTCCTTAAGTTCCTTCTTCTGTAAAAAAAATAGTGAAAGTATCCATATCACACAAAGTTGTGTGCTATCAAATAAGCATAAGCATTCAACATAAGCATTAGCTTATGAAGTTCTTAGTATAGTAGTTGACACACAAAACAGAAAAACAAACTGGATTCTGACTCATGGTGACCTATAGGACCGAGTCGAATTCCCCTGTGGGTTTCTGAGACTGAATCATTACCACGAGTGGAGAGCCTCATCTTTCCCCCTCAGAGTGGCTGATGGTTTCCAACCACCAAGCTTGCAGTTAGCAGCCCATGGAGTAGCCCACTATGCCACCAAGGATCCTCATAGTTGATATAATATCATCATTCATACTGTCACAGGGAGCTACTATGAGCTAAGCAGATATTAAATAGAGACTCAGAAGCTAATTCCAGCTGAGGAAGAAACAAGTTCCCCATATCCACGTCTCCAGTATTGGACAGACAGCTAGAAGGTTGCAGACTCCCTGGTTAACCAATGCCAGTGCTGCCAAGGGAGGGGCAAGGCAGGGACCATCCTCCTTCAGAAAGGAAGAGAGCATTACTGACCGAGCAGATGAGGTCGGCTCTGTGACTTGGCGCTGGACTCGGATGCCATGAGCACAGTTCTCCTGGAGCCCTGGCTGGGTTGAGAGGGGAATGTCAGGGGAGGTGTGGCTGATCTTCATGGAGGAGTCGGGGCAGGGCGTGGGAGGGTCTAGGAAGTCCTCGCTGTTCTCTTGCTCGTTGGTCTCGGTGTCCGTATAGTTAAGAGGCTCCTGGTTGTTGTCTTTGCTACCAGAGAGCAGACCGCGTTCTCGCCATGGAACCCAGCAGAGCTTCCAAGACACGAAGAGAGACACACCAAAGAGAGCGAGGCCACAGGCAGTGACCACGAGGGTCAGCAGGCTCACGGAGATATCTGCAAAGAAGCAAAGATCACAGGTCAATAGGATGGCTCCCTCCACGCCCTCATTCATTCAGCCCTCGGGAGCTTTTGGGGGGAGCCCAGGGCACTTGATTCTGAGGCAGAAACAATGAAGATTTAGAGATAAGCCACCGAAGCCAGTGAGCAAAAGAGCAGAGGAGGTAACCCCCAGGCTATGTCCAGAAGGATCAGCATCCTTTTATAGGAAGAAGAATCCCATTGCCAGAGTCTAATTAGACTCATAGCAACCTCAAGGGAGAGAGCAGCACTCTGCCAGAGAGTTGTTTCCAAGGCTATGAGTCTTTGGGATGCAGACTGCCTCATCTTTCTCCAGTGGAGTGGCTGGTGGGTTCAAACCGCTGACCTTTCGGGTATCAGCAGAGTACATAACCACTGAGCTACCAGGGCTCCTTTCTATAGCAAGAGCTATGAAATTCAGCCAGACAAGTCAGGTAAGACCCTATCCTGCAGGCACCGTGAATCACTGACAATATATGACCAGAACAGTTTCAACTGTCCTTAAAAATGACTCTGTCATCTCCCAGAGCTATTTGGGAATGGCTTATATAATGGCTTTATAAAAACCAGTTCACCAGTAACCAGTTGCCATCACGCCAACGCCAACGCCAACTCCTGGTGACCCTGTGTGTGTCAGAGGAGAAGGGTACTCACAGGGTTTTTAATGGTTGACTTTTAAAAAAATTATAAATAAATCATTTTATTGGGGGCTCTTACAGCTCTTATAACAACCCACATATCAACTGTATCAAGCATATTTGTACATATGTTGCCATCATCATTTTCAAAATAGTTTCTTTCCATTTGAGCCCTTGGTATCAGCTCCTCTTTTTTCCCCTCCCCCCCCTCCCACCCTCATGGACCCCTGATAAACTAAAAATTATTATTTTCATATCTTACACTGACCGCTATCTCCCTTCATCCATGTAATTGTTTGTCCCCCCTGGGGAGGGAGGAATGTGTGTCATTGTAGTCCCTTCCCCTTTTCTCCCCCTCCTACCCACACCTTCCCCCTATGTTCAGGGTATCCCACTGCTGGTCCTGGGGGGCTTATCTGTCCTGGATTCCATGTGTTGAGAGCTCTTATCTGTACCAGTGTGTGTGTGTGCCAGATTTGTAAGATAGAACTGGGGACATGCTAGTGGGGAGGAGAAAGCATTAAAGAACTAGAGCAGCGGTTCTCAATCTGTGGGTTGCGAACCCTTTGTGGGCTGAAGGACCCTTACATAGGGGTTGCCCGATTCATAACAGTAGCAAAGTCACAATTATGAAGTAGCAACGAAAATAATTTTATGGTTGGGCGGTCACCACAACATGAGGAACTGTATTAAAAGGGTGGCAGTATTAAGAAGGTGGAGAACCACTGAATTAGAGGAATGTCATATGTTCCATTGGTGCTGTGCTACACCCTGGCTGTCTCGTTCTTTCCTTGGGACCCTTCTGGGAGTGCATGTCCAATTATCTACAGATGGACTTTGGATCTCCACTCTGACAATGGTTGATTTTTTTAAGGAGTAGATCACCAAGCTTTTCTTCCAAGCTGCCTTCAGTGAACACAAACCTCCTGGTTAGCAAATAACCTTCTGGTTAGCAAGCGAGCACATTACTCATTTGTATCACCTGGAGAATAAGTGCTCATATGCTATTTTTGATATTATGCTTTTACAACTTAAATTTGCGTGTATAGGGTAAACCATTTTCCATTTCAACAGTCTTCGCATGTGCAGTTCATTGCCATTCAGCATGATCATCATGCTATTCAACTACCACTCTTATCCATTTCAAATTTCCCCAACACCCTTTAAAGAAACTCAGTGCCCCCTAAGTACTGAAGGTTTACGCCCAACAATGCTCAAGCTCTGTAGATTTTGCAGCACTCCATGGCCCCATTCCCGTGACCCTTAGTAGAGTGGCAAACTTGAGCATCCCTAGAAGTTGTCCCCGACACGAGCAGTCAATGGCAAGTAGTTTATTTAGGAGGTGTAGGAAACACTGGTAGGGAGTGGGAAGTTGAGGCAGGGAAGCATTTAGAAAAGAGGACGTTGACTGTCAAGTCAATTACCCCAGTGGGAGACTGGAGCTTCGGCCTACTGGGGATGCTCCGTATACCTTTGAGTTATCCTGCCCAAGGACAAAGGACCTGTGTTAGTCTGGGTAAACCAGGGAAACAAAGCCACAGAAACTCATACGTATAAGAGAGTATTATATAAAGGGCAAGCATACATCAAGAAAGCATCCCAACCCAGTTCTGTCCAGGCCCACAAGTTCAACACTAGCCCACATGTCCGACACCAATCCACAAAGTCCTCCTCAATCTCACAAAACACACCCAATGATGCTGACTGCAGGAGGTAAGCTGAATCAGTGGGCGTGTAAGCATCTCAGCGCAAGCAGGGGTCTCCCTCCGCAAGGCTGCTCCAGCACCCAGGGCTGCATCAGGATAGAGATCTATGTGACTTCTCCTCAGGGATGTCTTGCAAGAAGTGAGCCTTGCCAGCTGAAGCAGGGAACTGGCTAAGGCAACTGCACCCTGGTCTGACCATCAGGAAGCAAGAGGCCTGCGAACTAAAAAGACAAGGCTCACGGAGCCATTTATCTCTCCACCCTTTAGTTAATCCCACATGTGTTTATCTACTAGGTTGGCACAATAACCTTAAGTATCTCAGGACCTGAACCATGTACATATCCACTCCCGTCAGTCATTGATGGGGGGCAGCTCTCAAGGAATACTAAAGTCTTGGCATTTCCACCGAAGTAAACTTCACAGCGAGAATATGTCCACATGTGAATAAATGTGGGTGCTAGCTGTTTGAGTGAATTGGCATATATGCTCTGAAGTGATAAGTGATCATGGAGATTTAGTAATGGCAGCATGCCCTACATGGGTCTGTGACCCCATGGCAGAGCAGCATTCAGTGGCTGGATATCCAACTTTCAAAACACAGTCCAACCCCCTCTAGACTTCATTGCAGGAACCAGGAAGTAGGAGGAACCAGCATGACTCAATTCCTGCACTGGTGTGGCTGGAAACTCCCTATTTGATAGGACAGTGCTTGCTCCGTGCCTCTACCTGACAGTCAATCTATGTGATGGACTTTCTCATGAGTTCCCCAGGTTCTCCCTACGTTTTATCTTTCCTCCCATGCTTAGCATTTGCATTATTTCAACCAAAGTTGTCCATATGCATACTTCATGTCAGGTACTGTGCTAGGCTCTGGACATACACTGAGAAACATGACAGACACACCCCAAACCTTCTTAGGATTCTTATTTTAGTAAAAGAGGAAATGAGAAATCCGTTACAACTATTCACCAGCAACACCAACAGTCTGTGATCTATGGAAACTGGTATTTCTGCTGAGGTATACATTCGATCTTCTCTGGCAAGTCACTCAGGAGTTATGGTGGTGTAGTGAGTTATACATTAGGCTGCTAACCACAAGGTCAGCAGTTCAAAACCATCAGCTACTTCAAAGAGAAAGACGAGGCTTTCTGCTCTTGTACAGAAAGATTAGGTCTCAGAAACCCACAGGGGCAGTTCTACTCTGTCCCCTAGGGTGGCTATGAGTCAGAATGGACTCACTGGCAGTGGATTCGCAAGTCGCTTACCTGCTGACCACCTACCATGCATGTGCATTCTTAATAACATAGTCTCTTCAGGAAAGTTGCTTTTGGAAGAAAGCTCATGCTCATGCTGGTGATGGGTCTAACATAGCTCCTCTCTCCCTCCCCTCCGATCTTTGTCCTTGTGAAACAATGATGCCTCCACTTGAAAACACTGGTGGTTCTGGCCCTACATGGGTAACTGAGCTAAAATGATCACCCCTTTTCTGCCCTCCATCCCACCGAGATTTCAATGAGTAGAATTTTTAGAACAAAGAGGAGCACGAGTAGCATCAATCCATCAGGAACTTAAAAGACATTCCTGGAATTATTTTCAAGGAAAAGCCAATCCCTGCTGACCATGACAAAACCCAGGGGAAAGAAGGGGCCCCGGGGGAGGAAAAAGTAAAGGCCAAGTGCAGAGCAGCAAGGGACTAAGGGGCCAAAGTGGAGTCGCTGAGGTCACAGGGAAAACCATGGGAAACCAGGCCTATGCCCCACACAGTTCTGGCAGCTCCCTCAGTAGACAGGAAAATGGGGGGTGCAAAGTTCTTGACAGGTACCTCCTGGTTGAGGCAGAGGGAAGGAGGAGGCCTGTCCCAAATAATCAGACTGCCACAACAAACTTTAATGCCCACCTATCCCAAATTAGAAAAATCAGTACTGAAAAGCTCTCCTTAGTAGTGAAATCCCTTAACACATATTCTATAATCGGAACCATCTCTGGGGCAGGGATGCTTTCCTGCAGCTTTTTAATCACTCTATACTGTCCAGACACAAACATTTCAAGGCGTGTGACAGAGGAGGGGCATGCATGCTAGGAGGTGGGAGCTCTTAGGAGGTAATGTAAGTACTAGATTACACTTCATCAAAAGATCACTCTCACTCCACAGGGTCCCTTCCAAGGGAGGGGTGCTGTCAATGCCCCATCCTGGTCTTCCCCATGTGACTTATTCCACCCAATGAGATATAAGTAGATGTATCCCATGCTACCTTGACAAAACCAAAATCCTCATAACTGGACCAATAGTTAACATCATGATTAATGGAGAAAAGATTGAAGCTGTCAAGGATTTTGTCTTGCCTGGATCCACAATCCGCAATCAAGAGATCAAAAGAGATGTTTTATTGGGTAAATCTGCTGCACAAGACCTCTTTAGAGTATCAAAAAGCAAGGATATTACTTTGAGGACTAAGGTGTGCCCAAGTATTTTCTTTTTTTTTTTTCATTTACATATTTGAGGGGTTTTTTTT